TTGGCTGTGGGAACTTGCTGACTGAGTGAGGAGAGTTTGCTGGTTCTCAGCGGCCCTGGTGATCCCCCGTTCTGTTGTTTCAGATGCCTACCTGAGTGCCAAGGCTTGCAGGGACCTGAGACCTGTCATTTCTGGCCCATTTAATCCAGCCTAATCAGGCACAGAGCTGCCTCTGATCAGTCCCGCTTTCCTTTGTGAGCTCTGAAGACCGTGCAACCAAAATACCTGCCAAGAGCAACAAAAATCAGAGCAGCGAGGTGCCTCCAGTGACAACAGGAAGCAGGGAGGGAGACAGCCGTTGGGGCTTGTGCTTGTGTGCACGGGAGAGGAAGGAGGGTGTGAAACGGCAGCAGAAGCACAGGGATGAAAAGGCAGGGATGGAGGAGGTGAGGTAGGGATGGAGGAGGTGAGGTGTGCCTGGGGGAGGAGATCGCACCCCGTCCTCTGCAGCAGAAGGCACGAGTCAGCAAGGGTCTGTGGGTGGAAATGTTGGTGCTGGGCTCCTGGAGAGCTTCCTCCAGAGATGAGGATGCAGAAGTGACTCTTGTTGAGCTGGAGGTCTTACATGGAGACCATCCCAGGGCTTCCCTGCCGAAGGCTCCCTTGCAGGCTCAGTGGTGCCTGGCAGCAGTGGTTGTCCCCTATCACATAGGCACATAGCTAAAGGCTGAACCTTCCTTTTAACAGGGCAACGAAGCTGGTGAGGGGTCTGGAGCACAGGTCTTACGAGGAGAGGCTGAGGGAGCTGGGGGTGTTCAGTCTGGGGAAGAGGAGACTGAGGGGAGACCTTATCGCTCTGTACAAGTACCTGAAAGGAGGCTGTAGAGAGGCAGGGGTTGGTCTCTTCTTCCAAGTTACAGACGATAGGACAAGGGGTAATGGCTTCAAGTTGCACCAGAGGAAGTTCAGGTTGGATATTAGGAAACATTTCTTTACTGAAAGGGTTGTCAGGCATTGGAATGGACTGCCCAGGGAGGTGGTGGAGTCACCATCCCTGGAGGTATTTAAGAAACGTGTAGACATGGCTCTTCAGGGCATGCTCTAGTGCCCAAGATTATTGGTTTGTGGTGGGATGTTGTGTGGGTGGGTGATGGTTTTGGTTTGGTTGTTGTTGTTGTGTGTTTAGGGG